TTACTAATTTTATTTCAGGAATTAACCACTTCTTTCCAAAAGCAAAATGTGTGAAGATATAACGTGGTTCAACATGACATACCTCATACCATTTGGCAAACATATAACTTGCTTATATTTAGTATATTAAATATAACATTGGCTTCCAATGTGACTAACTCCTAGCTAATGCAAATGCTGAGTGATCTAACCTTTGTTTTTGGTCTTTGGAAAGTAAGTGATATGGTTTTGATGCTTGTCCTCTCCAAATCTCACGTGGAAATGTGATCCCCAATGTTGGAGGTGGTGCCTGTGGAAGGTGTCTGTCATGGGGGCAGATCCCTCATGAATGTCTTGGTGCCATCCTCATGGGATGAGCTCTTGCTCTATTAGTCTACATGAGAGCTGATTGCTTTAAAGAGCCTATCATCTCTCTTGCTCCTTCTCTCGCCATATGACATGCCTGCTCCCCTTTGCCTTCTGCCATGATTGGAAGCTTCCTGAAGCTCTCACCAGAAGGAGATGCTGGCACCATGCTTGTACAGTCTGTGGAGTTTTTAAGTTAAAAAAAAAAACAAACCTCTTTTGTTTATAAATTACCTACCCTCAGATATTCCTTTATAGAAATGCAAAATAGATGAATAGAGGAAGTATCCTTAGATTTCTGAGCTCCACATTCCAACCATGAAGGATGTCAGCAGGAACAATATTTCACGCTGCATTCACTCTCACCACTCACCAAATAACCACTGCTGATGCAGCGACTCTTTGAAGACTTCAAGGAAATAGGATGGCAAATGCCAGTGACAGTATTTTTTCTTCTTTAGTTATTTCCCTGATTGCAGGGAATTACCCCTTCAAGATCTCATTTTAGCAGAGTTGATGATGCCAGTGATCCAGTAAGGGGAATTTTAACTCTTAAAATTCAGCTGGGCCCTAACTTTTTCTCTGGTATAGGATTATGGGTTCTGGGACTAGCGAAGGTAAAGACAGAATAGAAGAAAGAGGCTATGACAGGAAGCTACTTATTAGAGAGTTAAAAGTTGGCTGTATGTGGTATGTATTTTCTGTGTCAAGTGGTATAACTGTGTTAAAGCACTAGCAACTGGCTGGGCTGATATAGCACCATCATCGGCATCTAATTTTATGTGAGTGGAAGCTCAGCAAAGAGGAGAAAGGAAGGAAAACATCTATTGCTACTGATACAGTTTGGAAACACCAAATATTAGTTTTTAAATAATATTTAAACATGAGAACTTTTCTTATTCACTAATAAGAGACAAAGTTAAGATAAAGTGAAAGCAATAACATAACAGTGAAAAATGTCAGTAAGAATAGGATTAACAACAACCAAAAAGAAAAGGTTAGGTCTAAAATCTTGGCACTACTAAAATTGAGTGACACATCAAAACTGATGTTTTAGAGGACAGAGACATAAAGAGAGAGAAATTAAATAATAAAGAATAATTATGTAAGGTGTATGCTAACAAGTGTTCTAGGGAGAAAATAGAGCAGGGTAAGGGGAATTGGGAGAGCCAAGTGGGGGTCCAGAGGACAAAGCAGGTTTCAATATTAAATATGGTTATCAGAGTAGACTCCATTGAAAAGGTGGTATTCACAATAATGTGAAATTAAAAATACATAATAGAATTAAATTTGGGAAACTTGCATCTATGTGGAAATTAAAGATGCTCCTAAATGAACAGTGGGTCAAAGAAGATCACAAGGTAAACCAAAAAATATTCTGAAATAGATGTAAATGAAAACACAACACACCAAAATTTATGGGATAAAACTAAGATGTGCATAGAGGGAAATTTATAGCTATAAATGTCTATATTTAAAAATAAGAAGGTCCTTTCCATCTTATAAAACTAGCAAAAGAGGATACAACTACATTCAAATCAAACAGAGGGAAGGAAATAGGAAAGACTTGAGTGGAAATGAAAAAATAAAGAATAGAAAACCCATAGTGAAAATCGACACAACAAAAAATGATTCTTTGAAAAAGTCAACAAAATTAGCAAATGTTTAGTTAGATCAAAAAAAAAAAAAGAAAAGAAAAGAAAAGAAAAAGAAGAAACCCTTAAATTGTTAAAATCAAGAATGAAAAAAGGTAAATAACTACAGACCTTACAGAAATAAAAAGGATTATAAGAGAATTTTGTGGACAATTACATACTAACAAGTTAGATAAACTAGATGAAATAGACAAATTTCTGGAAAGATACAAACTACTGAAATTGACTTAAGAAGAAATCAAAACTTTGAATAAATTCATAACAAGTAAAGTAACTGAATTAGTAATTTAAAAACTTCTCTGAAGAAAAGGCTAGTCAGGCGCAGATGACTTCACTGGTGAATTTTTAAAAAATATTTTAAGAATTAACATCAATCTTTTACAAACTTTTTAAGCTTTTACAAACTTTTTAAGCAATTAAGAGAAAACACCTCCAAAATCATTCTATGAGGCCAGTATTATTTTGACATCAAACCAGACAAAGACATTACAAGAAAAGAAAACTATAAACTCATGTCCCCTATGAACACAGACACAAAAATCCTTAACAAAATTACTAGCAAAGCAAAATCAGTAACATATAAGGATTATACCTGTCTCTTATACACATCTAGATGTGTATAAGAGACAGCATGAGAGCTGATTGCTTTAAAGAGCCTATCATCTCTCTTGCTCCTTCTCTCGCCATATGACATGCCTGCTCCCCTTTGCCTTCTGCCATGATTGGAAGCTTCCTGAAGCCCTCACCAGAAGGAGATGCTGGCACCATGCTTGTACAGTCTGTAGAGTTTTTCAGTTAAAAAAAAAAAAAACTCTTTTCTTTATAAATTACCTACCCTCAGATATTCCTTTATAGAAATGCAAAATAGATGAATAGAGGAAGTATCCTTAGATTTCTGAGCTCCACATTCCAACCATGAAGGATGTCAGCAGGAACAATATTTCACGCTGCATTCACTCTCACCACTCACCAAATAACCACTGCTGATGCAGCGGCTCTTTGAAGACTTCAAGGAAATAGGATGGCAAATGCCAGTGACAATATTTTTTCTTCTTTAGCTATTTCCCTGATTGCAGGGAATTACCCCTTCAAGATCTCATTTTAGCAGAGTTGATGATGCCAGTGATCCAGTAAGGGGAATTTTAACTCTTAAAATTCAGCTGGGCCCTAACTTTTTCTCTGGTATAGGATTTTGGGTTCTGGGACTAGCGAAGGTAAAGACAGAATAGAAGAAAGAGGCTATGACAGGAGCTACTTATTAGAGAGTTAAAAGTTGGCTGTATGTGGTATGTATTTTCTGTGTCAAGTGGTATAACTGTGCTAAAGCACTAGCAACTGGCTGGGCTGATATAGCACCATCATCTGCATCTAATTTTATGTGAGTGGAAGCTCAGCAAAGAGGAGAAAGGAAGGAAAACATCTATTGCTACTGATACAGTTTGGAAACACCAAATATTAGTTTTTAAATAATATTTAAACATGAGAACTTTTCTTATTCACTAATAAGAGACAAAGTTAAGATAAAGTGAAAGCAATAACATAACAGTGAAAAATGTCAGTAAGAATAGGATTAACAACAACCAAAAAGAAAAGGTTAGGTCTAAAATCTTGGCACTACTAAAATTGAGTGACACATCAAAACTGATGTTTTAGAGGACAGAGAAAGAGAGAGAAAATAAATAATAAAGAATAATTATGTAAGGTGTATGCTAACAAGTGTTCTAGGGAGAAAATAGAGCAGGGTAAGGGGAATTGGGAGAGCCAAGTGGGGGTCCAGAGGACAAAGCAGGTTTCAATATTAAATATGCTTATCAGAGTAGACTCCATTGAAAAGGTGGTATTCACAATAATGTGAAATTAAAAATACATAATAGAATTAAATTTGGGAAACTTGCATCTATGTGGAAATTAAAGATGCTCCTAAATGAACAGTGGGTCAAAGAAGATCACAAGGTAAACCAAAAAATATTCTGAAATAGATGAAAATGAAAACACAACAAACCAAAATTTATGGGATAAAACTAAGATGTGCATAGAGGGAAATTTATAGCTATAAATGTCTATATTTAAAAATAAGAAGGTCCTTTCCATCTTATAAAACTAGCAAAAGAGGATACAACTACATTCAAATCAAACAGAGGGAAGGAAATAGGAAAGACTTGAGTGGAAATGAAAAAATAAAGAATAGAAAACCCATAGTGAAAATCGACACAACAAAAAATGATTCTTTGAAAAAGTCAACAAAATTAGCAAATGTTTAGTTAGATCAAAAAAAAAAAAAGAAAAGAAAAGAAAAGAAAAAGAAGAAACCCTTAAATTGTTAAAATCAAGAATGAAAAAAGGTAAATAACTACAGACCTTACAGAAATAAAAAGGATTATAAGAGAATTTTGTGGACAATTACATACTAACAAGTTAGATAAACTAGATGAAATAGACAAATTCCTGGAAAGATACAAACTACTGAAATTGACTTA